ATCTGAACTGCTGACTCTGTGATTTGCAATCCTGTGCTTATCCTACAGCGCCACATCAGAAGTCCAGGTTAGATAATAGTGCTGTACTAATGTTAATTTTCTGAGTTGGTCATTGTACTATATTTATTTCAAAAGTTAATATTTAGAGAATGTGGATAAAGCATACATGGAAATTCTTTGAACTATTTTTGTACATTTTTGGTAAATCTAAAACAATTTAAACTGAAAAGTTAAAAAGTAAAAATTAATTGTTGAAATTAGGATCTGATCAATTGTAGAGGGAATGGTTTGGGCAATAAAATGACAAGAAATTAGCTGGATACAGACAGGAACGGTAAAATGGAAAACTATAGTGTTTGGAGCATTTTGGTGGTGATACTAAAGCTAACGGAGTCTGGAAGGGAAGCAGGTTTGGGAGTAAAGAAGATGGCTTTCGGTGGACATGCTAACTTTTTTATCAGCTATTCTCCAGGTGTAGCTGTGTATCAAACACTGGAAATTCAGCACTGGGATGAAAGAGAAAGGCAATGACTAAGGATAGAGATTTTATATAAAGGCAAAAATTGATGACCCAGGAATATGATGTGACTAAGGAAGAAAGCTGAGGCTTTCTACTCCTATAAATATTTACAGCCTCAGAAACCCTAGATAGGGTCACTATGAGTTGGAATCAACTTAAAAGCACACAACCACCAACCAACCAGGGGAGACACTGAGAAGATGGCTGGTGAGGAATCCATCCTAGGGAAGGACGCCCCCCTGGCAGTAGGCAGAGCTGACTACAAGGATTTCAGAGACGGATCAGCTGAAGAATGTCTATTCCTGAGATGTTTGGGCCTAGCTATTCTCCAATATTTGAAGAGGTGTCATAAGAAAACTATTAGCAAAGACTTTTTAGCTTAAGAAAAAATGGCTAGTACTTCAACATTGATGACACTTTGCAATATCCTCTGACCTCTATTTCTACATACCGTTCTTAGTCAGTGCTGATTAGTTGAGTTTGTTAAAATGGGCATGTTCATTTATGCTGAAAAAACAAAGTGCCAGACCTTGAAATCACAAAAAGATAAGTGAGTTTAAGAGTTAACCGGGGTAAATACAGAGGACAGAGCTAGTCAAACATTAGCTGCTAAAACACTCTCAAACAATGCAGTGAGCTGTGAGGTAATGAACGATCAGTTAGAGAAAATGATTCCTGGGGTCCCTTCCAACTCTACAATTCAGTAAGCGCCTGGGTTGTTGTTTTTTCCTCCTGTTAAGTGGAAATAATAGTATATAGTTCGTGTGGCTGCTGTAAGGATTATAGGAGCTAAAGTGCATAAAACTGTTCAGCACAGAATAGTTTATATTAGCTGATAGTGAATCAATTCAATAAATTTAAGAAATCCTAGTCCAACACCCTGAGGAAATACCAAGCTCAGACACTAGAGGGGACTCTCAGTCACTCCTGTCACTGAGACATACACACCGCCCTTCCTGATACACCAGCCTTTCCTATGCCAGGAAATACTTGCACTCAGGAAACCTGGCTCAGTGCTGAACTCCATGGTGTTTTCTCTGAGTCACTGTATTCTCAAAACGATCTGGCAAAAATCCCTCAAAGACTCTTACTGCTCACTGAGTAACATCCAAACTCCTTGCCAGAACCCAAGGCCTTCTCTCAATCTGGCCACACCCAGCCTGAACTCCCTTTGCTGCTTTGTACTCCAGCCACACCGGACAATACATGCTCATCCTCTCTGATGCCTTTAGGCCAACATGCTGAAATCGTCCTCCTTTCTCAGTGGTTCAAGGAGACCTCCTCCTTCCTCACTTTTCCAGAAATAGTCATGTCTCCCACCCCTGAGCTCACATTTGATATTATATCCATTTATCTTATATCAAATAGATGTATGTATATATATCTTATCTCTGCAATAGATTGATTATAAACTCCAGAGATGCCAGTAGGCAGTTTGCTCAAGGTGACATAGTAAGTAAATGGCAAAGATGGGCAATCTGGCTCCAGAGAGCTCCTGCTCTGGACCACCAATTCATACCAGGGTGAATCAAACAGTATTGCTATGAGAATTTCAGATCATACATGCATGGGTTTATTCCAAACAAAATTTATTTGCCCATGTCTCTGTGATCAGTGGATGACTGCATACAAGTTCTTTCATACAACATTTGTCTAAGTCTCATTAGAGTGCTTTCAAGAAAAATGTTCCTTTTTGTATCAGGGGGGGAAAGAAAAAATTTTGAAGTTAGGACTAATATAAACATTTTAACAGAACTTAAGTAGATACCTTCCCAAATCATTGAAACTTTGTAACAAGTTTATGGGAATGGTTGTTGCTAAATGCCATGGGGTCAGTTCAGACTTATAACCACCCTGTATAAAGTTGCTAAGGAGCAGCTGGTGAGTTTGAATTGCTGACTTTGAGATTCAAACTGACCTTGTGGTCCAGTGCTTATGGTATAGCACCAACAAGTTTTAGAGGGATCAGGTATTTTAAGATCAGGAAGTGCTCAAAGATGAGCCAAGAGAGGGAAAACCATCAACCTTGATGAATGAAGAAAGGATGGCTTATGTCCAGAAACTGGTGGAAGACCATAGATTTATTACAGAAGGGATAGCTGCTGATAGTGGAGATCAAGTCAAAAGTATTGTACAACGATCAGCTTAAATAGCTGATCTTTCCATCAGTCTTCTAAGCAAGATCAAAGCTCATGAAGGCAATTTTATGAAACAAATCATAACTGGGCATGAGTCTTGGATTTACCAGTAAGATAGAGAGAGCAAGATCCCATCAAAACAGTGGCATCCAGGGAGGTCTGTAGGGTCAGTTAAAATTCAAGGCAGAAAGGTCAGCTCAGGTTATGACAACTGTTTTGAGGGGACTCCAAAGGAATAGATTATCTTGGACACAGGACAATCACAGGGACTTTTTATGAAGAATTTTAAAGAAAGCTGAAAACCACATGGGTGAAAACAAGGCCAGGAAAGATGGGCCAAGGAATTTTTTCCCATGATGACATGTGTTGTCATCTTTGAGAGTAGCAAGAGCTGTCCTACTAGAATTTCATTGGAAAACCTTGCCCCAGCCACCGTATAAGTGCTGATCTTGCTCCTTCAGACTGACTTTTGCTTCTAAAACTCAAAGAACAATTCTAAGGAACAATATTTGAGTCCTTTAAGGAGCTCTGGTAGCATAGTGGCTACGAATCAGGCTACTAATCTCAAGGTTCTGTGGGAAAAAGATGAGGCTTTCTGCTCCTGTAAAGATTTTCAGCCTCGGAAACCCTGTTCAGGGTCACTATGAGTCGGAACGGACTCCACAATACTTAACAACAACAACAAGGATATCAAAACTACCATTTTAACATGGTATAAATTGAAAAGTGCAGAATTCTTCCGGAAAGGGTTAGAGAGACGGAAACACTGCCTTCGGACGGGTGTGTATAGACCTAGATGGAGGCTATGTAGAAAACAATCACTTCACATTTTGATATTTTCGCATAATAATAGTTTATGATATTGGAACAATACTTTTTGACTTACCCTAATAATCTTTCCCCAGCTGTACTGTCTAGCTTTGCCCACAGTGCCATCAAATGAGTAAAACACTTGAACCTCTTAAACTTATGGACTACTTACTGACTGGGAATCAACAATTGGAATCTTCAGAGTTAGAATACCTGGTTATGGATCTAATTATGAGCAATTTCAGAATCCTAATTACTGTTCCATTTTGTCTCTTGATCTGGAATGCACTCAAGGACCTGCTCCCAGCTACATTAGGAAAGAAAACAGTGATTATCTTGAAGTTTAGGAGATGTGTGTTTTTGTGAAGCTTCCAGGTTACATCTTCAATGTAAAATGAAGGGGGCAGGCGGTGGACTGGATGGTCTGAGGGTCTTTCCTTCAGTTTAAACAGTCTGATTTTGATAGTATGGAATCGGAAAGAGCTTCTGCGTCTGTTTGTGACACATCACTGTGAGACTCACCTTCATTATCCCTTTGACTCCTGATCCAAGTCAGCTAATCCAAAGTCAGCTTCTCCAGGGTAAAACGTTATCTATTCAAACACTGGCATATACAATAATGAAGAAGACATACAAGGCCACTGCTCATTCGAATTACTAATATTGGATGACACCTGGCTTTTTTCTTTTTGGGGGGGTGGTCCTAAATTGAAGTGGTCAAAGTATTTTATAATTCAGATTCACGATGACGATCTTGCCAGGATTCTCATTCTGTCAAATCCAACTGGCAACAAAAACGTTTCCAGTTTTGCTGTTATGGAGAAAAGCCACATAGTATTTTAGTCAAACTTAGTCACTTCTGTATTAGTCACTTTTGCATGCAGCTTTGCTTGCCTCCTAAGTGAAGGTTGACTGGGGTTATCCGTGTTCCTGGTAATCACTAGGCAGCAGCAGTTGCGGGCAGAGCTGAGGTTCCCGTACGTTTCTCACTCTCACAACTTGGGGGGAAAGCCACAGCTAGGAATCTGGACCACTGGGTTCACCAGCTCTCCTTTGTGCTGAATGGCTCCAGTTTAGCAGGCCCCTCTTGAGGCAAGCCACATCTGTGAGGAAGCATTTTCCTGGCTACTGTGCAGTACTGAGGGGATCACTCATCAGGGTCCAGCCAGTCCAAACTACAACCCGCAGGCGAAGGTTCCATCTCGAAATGCAACCAGGGGGCAGCCCTGGCGCGTTCAGGTGGCCTCGGGTGTATTCAGCCGCCAGCCGTACTGGGCTCACCTCTTTACTGGCAAGGACCCCAAGCAGCTCCAGGACTGCGCCGTGGACCGCCGCGACACGCGCAAGAGGACAGTGGACCACGTGACTGCCAGGGCCCTCGCGTGAGCTCCGCGGGGGGCGGGGGCGGGGGCGGGGGCGGGGCCTGGCGTTCAGGGCTCCTCAGTGACAGGGCGGGCGGGAAGGGGCGGGGCCTCGGGCGCAGCCGCCTCGGGGGGAGAAGGGCGGGGGGCGGGGGGAGGGGAGGAGTGGAGATGGCGACGGCGGCGACTGAGGGGGGCGGGGGCGGGGAGCCCCGGGGAGCTGATGGGGTCTACATGGGGGCCCCGGGGGAAGTGGAGATAGTGAAGGGGCAGCCATTCGACGTGGGTCCTCGCTACTCGCAGCTGCAGTACATCGGCGAGGGCGCGTACGGCATGGTCAGGTGAGGGAGTGTTCTGGAGGAGGGGGCTGTTTAGGAGAAGGGGCTGATTTAAGGGGAAGGGGCTCCGAAAACGGGAAAAGTAAGGGGAAGGGGTGCTGAGCACTTCTTGAGACGTGGAGAGTCTAGAGTCCCGAAGAGGCTGGGGACTGAGAAGGCTCTGGGAGGGAATCTTTGAGTGCTTTCTGGGGGTGGGGGCGCTGCGGACCATCTAAGGGGAGGGGGCCTCGGGACCTTGGAGGAAACATTCAAGACTGAAGGGAGGGCCATCTGAGTACATCTAGGGGAGTTGTGGGCACCTTGGGGAGGAAGGGGTGGAGACCTGGGGCCGAAAAGATTAGGTATTCTTGGGGAAGGAGTGAAAGACCTTCTTGGAAAGAAGGATACCTGGGATCCTCCTGGTGAGGCTGTGCCCAAGCAGTTTTGGAGAGAAGAGCAGAGCTAGGGGCTAGGCAGGGTGGGACAGGGTTCTGAACTGGGACCGAGGGGCCCAGTGAAGGGTAAGGACTAAAAGTGCCTCCCTGCATCCTTTGGGGAGGGGTCTATAAACGTTCTCAACCTCCCCCCCCCTCCCGTCTGCTCTGGGCTTTTGTTCCTCTGGGAACCTGCAGCCCAGGTATCTCACCCTGGTTGCTACCCTGCCTCAGCCCTTCCTATAATGCCCTCTTCTCACTGTATTTGCTCACTCTGTGTCCTCCACTCATCCTCTCCCCAACCCCCCACCCCACTCCATGGACCTGTCTGGGGCTCTGAGCTCACATCCTGGCTATGGGGGCAATGAAGGCTCAGGGCAGCTAGAATGAAGGGGAGGGGCTGTGAGGAGAGGGGAAGTCTGTGAGGGGTCAGCCTCTTCCTCTGTTTGTGAAGTCACTGAAGGCCCTTGGCTGCTCCCCAACCTTCTCCCTGGAGATCCTAGGCCAAAAGCAGGAAGGAACCATCATTGTTTATGACTCGGCCAGAACCCTCTCTTTCTCCCTCCCCTCACTACCAAGGCCTGGGTGGGGCTATCTGCCCTGGACTCCCACTTTACAAGGCCACACCATCAATATCTCTCTGGCCCTTTCAGCTCAGCTTATGACCACGTGCGTAAGACTCGTGTAGCCATCAAGAAGATCAGCCCCTTTGAGCATCAGACCTACTGCCAGCGTACACTGCGGGAGATCCAGATCTTGCTGCGCTTTCGCCATGAGAATGTCATTGGCATCCGAGACATCCTGCGGGCACCCAACCTGGAAGCCATGAGGGATGTGTATCCTTCACTTTTGCCAGATGGCTGGCTAGGCTTGGCCTTCTAGCTGGGCTGGGGGCAGCAATTCACATTCTTTCTGTTTTCTTCTTCCCTACCCTCAAAAACAAACCCAGTAAAACTTTTCAGCCTGAGAGGCCACAGAGTGTAAGAGAACCTGGTTCTTCATTGAATCCTGGCCTCCTGTCTCCAGCCTGTGTAGCCTTGGGCCAGTCCCTTCTCTGCTCTGTGACACAGTGGGGGGCTGGGTGAGATCAGCTCTATGGGAGCTTTGTCTTCTGACATCTGCATTTCTGTGACATGATCCAGCCTCTGCCCACAGTTGATTCTTGCCTAACAAACTAATGATTCTTTCCTCTCTGGGCTTCAGACTGGAGAGAAAGCAGAAAGGAAGAAAACTGCCTTTTCTTGAAGGCCTACTAGGTGTCAGGTGCCATGCCTGCCAAGTGATGCTTCTTATTCTACCTCCCAGCTGCCCTATGAAATGGGCCTCACCAGCTCCATTTCAAAGATGAGAAAATGGAGACTCTGAAAATCTAAAATCAAGTACTTTTTGTTGTCACCTTCTCCCCTCCCCCAAATAAGAACTTCTTTTCTCTGTGACTTCCCTCTCAGAGCCCCACCCCAATCACCTCTGGTTATGAACCTTGCCCAGGGAGGGACAGACTAGCCTTTACTGCCCTCCCCTGCTATCACTTTCCCAGTTTGTTGTTCACTGCCTAGCTGACCATCGCTTCTGTTCTCAGCAGCTTGTGATACCATCACCCTTCCTCTCCTCCCCAGTCCTCCTCCCAAGAGTGGGGATGTGCACTGCAAGTTTGCAGCCTCTGCTACAAACTGGATAGGAGATTCCTGTGCCCATTCCTGACTTACAGTGTGACCTTAAAGCAGTCACTGCCTCTTGTTGGGCCTCCCAATCTATAAAAACAGCAGGGTTGATCCTTTAGAGGCTGACTGTAAAAGACATTCAATACTTACTTCTCCAGTGACAAGCACATGGCATTTATTTATTTATATGTAATACTTGTTTTAATCTTAAAATATAAATGGACATTTATTCCTCAATCTTCTGATTTTCAGCCAACAACTCTTCTTTGAGTAGGTGTGTACTGTTGAGAATATCTCTTCATTTTTCTTGCACAAACCATTCCCATAAGGCAGGCACTTAAAAATAAGCAAATATTTATTGCATGCCAGATGGTGTTCATACATTATCTCATTTAACCCTCTCAATAGCCATGTAGATCATTTCATTAAATTTGCTGAATACTTAGCGTGTGGCAAGCAGTGGGCTAATTGCTTTACATAGCATAGGTTCTCTTCCCAACCTCACAGCCACCCTCTGTAAAGCACAAATTTCCCCCATCTACAGATGAAGAAATAGAGGTAGAGACCGGTCACAAAGCCAATGAGTAGTGGAGTAGGGGTTCCAAAAATGGGTGTGTTAACTCCAAAGCAAGTGCTCTTAACTGTGCAGTTCTCCTGCCTCTCAGAGTTTAAGGAAACTGAGTTCTACAACTTAAGTGCTTTGCTCACAGACACTCAACTGAGATGTGCAAAGAGGCCCTCAAACCTGTTGATGAATATGGGCCTTGTCTGATTCATGATGTTGGTGGTAAGTGCTGTCGAGTTGGTTCTGACTCATAGCGAGACCCTAAATAGGGTTTCTGAGGATTGGCTGGTGAGTTTGAACTGCCGATGACTTTGCAGTTCAAAATGACCATTTAGTCTAGTGTTTATCCTAATCCTACAGCACCACACCAAGACTCCCTGGTTAATAATATGGGCTGGCAAATTTCCTGAGTCCAAAGAACCTCAACTGGAGGGAACTTAACAGTCTAGTCACCAGAACCTGTTCTCCTTAACCCAGTGCCTCCTGCTACCCCTGACCTGGGGTAGGGGTCTCTGGTGCCACCCTCAGCTACATTGTGCAGGACCTAATGGAGACAGACCTGTACAAGTTGCTCAAAAGCCAGCAGCTGAGCAATGACCACATCTGCTACTTCCTCTACCAGATCCTGCGGGGCCTCAAGTATATCCACTCGGCCAATGTGCTCCACCGAGACCTAAAGCCCTCCAACCTTCTCATCAACACCACCTGTGACCTTAAGGTCAGGGTTTGGGTGCTTCTCTTTTCTCTACCTCCAGGGGCTTCCAGAGGGCCTGATAGATCAGGCCAGAGTCAGTCCCTTCTTCCTGGCCTTTGGGTTTCTCACCTCCACCAGACATTTAATTACTCTCTGCATTTATGAAGGATCTTAGACAAATGGCTCTGCACGGTCCTAGTGAGCCAGGAGACAGATTTCTCCTTAGCCCATAGAAGAATTTCTAGCTGACAGTTGGCAGAGCAATAGGACTGCCTCCCAAGTGAACTTCTTGTTCCCAGAGGGCAAAAAGGAGAGCAAAGATTCTAGGAACTGCTTGGGGGCTAAATGCTATCAGGGAAGGCTTCCTCCAGGAAGTGGGATTAGCTGAGGCATGGTGGCAGTATGGAGGCCGCAAGTTACCTAGCTCTGTGTTCAGTAGGCAGTCAGCTCTGCCCTAAGATAGGACTGTGCCCATCAGAGGAAGGGGGAGCCTTTTCTGAATTTGCCCAAAGACACACCTTCTAGGTCAGTGGCAGCCTTTTGGTGAAAGCATCCCAAGCAAGGGGGACATGATAGGCAAAGGCGTACAAGTAGGGTTGCCTGAGCCACGGAGACCCTGAGCACTGAACTGAACAGCCTGGGTTTGATTCCAGATCTGTGATTTTGGCCTGGCCCGGATTGCTGATCCTGAACATGACCACACTGGCTTCTTGACAGAATACGTGGCTACACGCTGGTACCGGGCACCAGAGATTATGCTCAACTCTAAGGTAGGGAGGCTGCTTCTCCACCTACCCCCACCCCCCTCACTCCCCCTGCAGGGAGGGAAGTAGGTCCTAGGGCTTCTCTGAGTAAGGAAGTGACCCCCATAAGGCAGATAGTGTACTCCCGGGCTGAGCCATGTCACTCCAGTCCTTGGGAAGGAAGCTGCGCATTTGCTCCTCCAGGCCTTGCCCTCTGCCTCCCTGGATGGTGTGGGATATGGGTTGGGGATGGTGGCTTAGCCTTATGTGGAGGCTGGCTCAGGAGCCCATCACCTTCTTGTCCTCAGGGCTACACCAAGTCCATCGACATCTGGTCTGTGGGCTGCATCCTGGCTGAGATGCTCTCCAATCGGCCTATCTTTCCTGGCAAGCACTACCTGGACCAGCTCAACCACATTCTAAGTGAGGCGGGCCTGGCTAGCTAAATGGGAGGGAGGTTAACTTACCTGAAATAAGAATTCTTGAGTTTCGGTGAATCTTTAGGCTACTACATGGTGAGCCCCTAGATCATCTCACAGCATTTCTTTAAGGTGTGCCTAGTACCCCATGTGGTAAACAAGGCAAAGTCAAACTCTACATGTGAGGAAGTGCGAGCTAGAATTCGAGCCTAGGGTTTTCTTAATGTAGACCTCTGGCTTCTCACCATCTGCAGAGGCAACTCTTTGAAAGATTGGAGGAGGTCTCTTGCGGGAGTGGCTCTTACTGGTTTCTTGATTGTTTTGTTCCCAGAAGAGGGGAATATCTCTCACCAAGTAACCTACCTTACCCTCAGGTATTCTGGGCTCCCCATCTCAGGAGGACCTGAACTGTATCATCAACATGAAGGCCCGGAACTACCTACAGTCTTTGCCATCCAAGACCAAGGTTGCCTGGGTCAAGCTTTTTCCCAAGTCAGACCCCAAAGGTGAGAGAGTCTTGGGGGCTGATAGGAATGAAAAGCTGAGCACAAAGAGGGTATGAGTTCAGCAGCTGTCAGAGCAAATCAAGCAGGTGCCTGGGCACTGAGAAGCAGAGTGATGCTTCTGGAAACTCCTCAGGCTTTCTCTTTGGCCCTAACTCTTTCTTGCCTTTCCTTAGCCCTTGAACTACTGGACCGGATGTTGACCTTTAACCCCAACAAACGGATCACAGTGGAGGAAGCACTGGCCCACCCCTACCTGGAACAGTACTACGACCCTACAGATGAGGTGGGTCAGCTACCAGCAGCAATGCTTTTGGGTAGGTGGGTGGGCAGGCAACCCCCAGGGGCTAGTCTGAACCCTTGCCCTCTTTTCCATGGTAGCCTGTGGCTGAGGAGCCCTTCACCTTTGACATGGAACTGGATGATCTACCCAAGGAGCGGCTGAAGGAGCTCATCTTCCAGGAGACAGCCCGCTTCCAACCCGGGGCAGGAGAAGCCCCCTAACTTGGACTGATGCCCCTGCTCCCCAGAACCTGGTAGGTATTCCCCACCACTTGTACACAGATACCACAGCATTCAACCTGCTTCCAGACAGTGTCAGGCTTGCCTCACTCCCATGACCCACATCTCAGGTGGCAAGAGAAAGGCTCAGAGCCTGCCCATGCCCGAGGACTGTTTTCTGTCCCAGCCGCTTGTCCCCAGTCCCAAATGCCTCCCCATCAACACCTGCATCCGCTAGCCCTGTGGTCATTCCAGACTGCAGAGGTTCTCCAGACCCCTTATGCCATCTGAGGGAGCAGAGCCAGGCCAGAGGTAGTGATTGCTTAGGGAGGAGCCCAGCGGCACCCAGTCTGCCCCAGTTGTCAGGCCTCCTCCCTTCATACCTGGTGCCTAGGTCAACAGTGCACACCCTCAACACTTGTGCCCACCCATCCTGCACTTTCTCCTTCCTGTCTTTCCCCAGTTGTGGCCTGATAGGAAGAAGGCAGACAGACCTGGGTTCACACCCCAGCTCTGCTACTTTAAGAGCAAGACACCTCACTAATGTGGGTCTCAGTTTCCTGGACACCATTCTTTTCAGAGCAAACACACAGCTCTAAGCACTGTTCTGAGAAGCTTCCATGTGATATGTATCCACTCACTGGATCCTCACAGATAGTGGAGTCCACTAGTATCCTCATTTTACAGATCAAGAAACTAAGCTACCGGGAAGCTAAAGGTCTGCACACCTGGAAAGACGAAATGGGAGAGACTGAGGTCAGGGCTCTGCAGGTCTTCTCCTGGGTCCTAATGCTCCTTTTCTACCTGCCTTTTCATTTAGCTCCTGCCTCCTGACTGCCTCTCCCCTGCTGGACTGTTAGAGAATGGACACTGTGCCCAGCCCAGACTCTGGTGGCCCCAGCCAGGGCAGAGGATGGGTCTGGCCACCTCTCTCCTGTGCTTGGAGCTTCCTGTTTGGAGCAGGCCAAGGCCTTTCTCCCTTTCTTCCTTCTTCCCCCACAGGGTCTGAGGGGCTCGGTTGACCCCACAGTGAACCTTCCCCACTTGCTCTGCCTGCATCTCCGCCAACTATCCCAGTCTCTGGTTGTTCTGGAAATCGGAAGTGCCCTGACTGCCTCAGCACTTACTAAGGGGTGGTGAGAGGGCGGGAGCACTTGCCTTGTCCTACTCACCTCATAAAACCCCACCCCATTTTCCCTGAAGGAACATTCCTAAGTCTCAAGGGCTAGTATCCCTGAGGAACAGGGCCCAGGCCTCAGCCCCTTAACACCCCCCACTGTTCCCCCCAGACCCTCCCCTCGCAAGACTGCCCCATTTAATGCCCTGCTGCTTCTGTGTGTGGGTGATGAAATGGAGGTGGGGGCACATGGCAAGCCCAGTGACCCCTGCCCACCTCCCTGTGCCTGTATCTAATATATAAATATAAAGATGTGTACATGGCCCCGGCTCTGTCTATGTTTGCGGCGTCCTGACCCTAATAGTGCTGTTTTTGAGGCCTGCACTCCAACAACCTAGCCACATCCCAGCTGTGATGACCCTTTGCCTCAGGGACCTTGGGTTGCCCACCATCACCCCCTGTCCAGTGACAAGGCCAATACAAGGAATTCCAGACTGCTAAAAAGACTGGGGCCAATTTTCCCCTTAGTCACATTGTACTCATCTCCTCCGGTGGCTTCCTGTCTGACTGGCTAGGGATGATCTGGAGGTGATACAGGTGCACCCTACACACCACCAGATTCTTTAGAAGTGGCAGTAGCAGTTGTGTTGTGTTCCCTGGCCGCAACCACCAGTGGGAGGGGGCAGATCCCTGCAGACTGGGGGTGGGAACTTCATGCTACAGTGTGGCCAAGGATAGAGGCTATGCTGGGTCCTGGCCCTGAGCCAGCAGCAGGCTCAGCAGGTCCCAGGGGCGTGGAGGCGGCCAGTGGTAGAGCCAGCCTATACCAGCCAGCAGGCAGCCAGACAGTACAGTCCATTGGGAACACCGAGCTGGTGGTGGCCAGAGCCGTCAGCAGCAGTGCAGCCATGAGTCCTCTGCTGTACTATGCCTTGCCAGCCGTAGGATGCTACGTCACGCTCTCCATCTTCTTCCTGCGTTGGCCACGCCTGCTGCACACACCCCGTGTTAGGGCCTTCTGCCCTCGCTTGGGGGCCCATCGAGGAGGTGAGCTGAGTGGGGTTGGATGGGAGAAAGGGCAACAGCCACCAGCGATATGGCCCATAGCCAAGCAGGTGCCAAGAGCAGGGATCTAAAAAGGGGTCAGGCTCTTAAGTGGGAGGAGAAAGAGAGAGGCAGGTCATGGAATAAAAACCAAGTAGCAGGCTGCTCCCACCCTCCCACCCCGACCCCATGAGGATAAGGTGAGCCAGAGGATTCATTCGAGGGGAAGAAAGGTCAGGGACGGGGAGTACAGGAAGAGGTCCAGTATATACTCCTAGACCCTAGGCCTCAGGTACCATACCACTCAGCTGCCCCCCACCCCTACCTCAGGATCTGGAGAGAGGCTGGAGAACACTCTGGAAGCCATGGAGAAGTGAGTGGCCTGCCCCTGACCCCTGGTTGTCCTGTGAGGTGGAGTTGGTGGTTCATAGCAGCATGCCTTGGGTGGGGGGAGAGGGTGGTGGCTCTTCCTCATCGGGGGATTGCTCACATCCCACCTGGATCTTTGCCCACACTGTCCCCCAAACCTCCCTCAGACTATGCAGTCTGGCCCCATTGGCCCATGCCCTGCCTCCCACTGACCTTTGCTCCCATAGTGCCATGGCCCAGAGAGCTGAACTTCTGGAGCTTGACTGTGAGCTGACAAGGGACGGTGTGGTGGTCGTGTCCCACGATGAGAACCTGTTACGCCAGTCAGGCCTGAATCGCAATGTGGGCAGCCTGGACTTTAAGGTGGGCCTTATCCTAGTGCTGTCCTCTCCTCCCCACCCCCACATGTCCATTCCTGCCTCCCAGTGGCATCCTCCCTGCTGTCTTCCCCAGGACCTGCCTCTCTACAAGGAGAAGCTGGAGGTTTACTTCTCACCAGGTGAGCGCATGGGCTGTGACCTGTGACCTGGACAGTGAGTCTCCTGCCCTCTCCTCCCCACCCATCCTCTGATTCCTCTTCCCACAACCCCCCAGGCCATTTTGCTCATGGGTCAGACAGGCACATGGTGCGCCTAGAGGACCTGTTCCGGAGGTTCCCGAGGACACCCATGAGCGTGGAGGTGAAAAGGGAGAATGAAGAGCTCATTCACAAGGTGATACATAATTGCAGGGGAAGGCTCAGGGTCCAGGGTCAGAGCTCCAGGTGGTGGAGTGAGACCTGCCTCTACCCTGTACCCCTTGCTCCTTCTCCCAGATAGCAGGCCTGGTCAGGCGCTTCAACCGAAATGAAATCACCATCTGGGCTTCAGAGAAGAACTCAGTCATGAAGAAGTGCAAGGCAGCTGTGAGTCCACCACCTTTCCCCATGGTCAATTTCCCACTGGCTCTGCCTCCCAGGAGCTGGAGTCCAGCTCAGCCTTGTGGCCTAGACCAGCGGGGTGGGGATGGTTCTGGAGGACCTGGTCTTTGGTCTTTAAGCAAGGGCTCCAAAGGGAAGACGTGGAGAGCTAAGTGTGTGAGCAAAGGCATGATGGTCAAAATGATAAGGGTACGTTTAGGCCTTGAACGTTGAGCCAGGATGTGGTTTTGATCCCACAGATAGAGGGGAGCCCCCTGAATGTCCAAAACTGTCCCCCACATAGCTCAAATCTCCACTCCTTTTTCCCAGGAGCAGACTGGCCCCATTTCTCACTTCTCCCCTTGTCTCCCCAGAACCCTGAGATGCCCTTCTCCTTCACAAAATGTCGAGGACTCTGGTTGTTGCTGCTCTATTACCTGGGGCTCCTGCCCTTCACCCCAATCCCTGAGAGGTTCCTCCTGTCGTTCCTGCCCACCATCATCAACAGGTACCGGCTGTAAGGGTGGGGTAGTATCATCCCAGGTCCCATTACTCAGGGTCTTCTCAACCTGGCTGTGAAGGAGGAAACTCAGACTTAACCCTAAGGTCTTCTTAAGATAGTGGTTGTTATAAAGTGTTCACAGATACTAAAGGAGTCTTAGTGTGGCACTGTGAGATAAGCACTAGACTGCTAACTGCAAAGCTGGCAGTTCAAACCTACCATTTGCTTCTTGGAAACCCTATAGAAGCTCACTATGAATCAGAACCAACTCCACAGCAGAGCAGCAGCAGCAACAAGGGAGCCATGAGCCCCTGAGATTATGTGCAAATGTGTCTTGATAGGGAGCTTTAGGAGAAACAATTAATTTATCTGTTTATTCATTCAACCAGTATTTTTTGACTACCTACTCTCTGCCAGTGGAGTCCTGGTATGGCTCTGTGGGATAAAGCACTGGACTGCAAGGCCGGTTTGAACCACAAGGTCTGCAGTTCAAACTCACCAGCCACTTCTTGGAAACCCTTTTCAAGGTTGCTGTGAGTCAGAACCGACTTGACAGCACTTAATAACAGCAACAACTCTGTCTATGCCAGGAGTCCTGGTGTGGCGCTGTAACACAAGCACTGGACTGCTAGCTGCAAGGCTGGTGGTTCAAACCCACCAGCTACTCCTTAGAGACGCCATACAGGGTTGCTGTGCGTTGGAACTGACTGGACAGCACCTAATAACGACACTCTATGCGAAATTTAATTACATTAATAATAAGACCAATGTGGGGAAGGCCTTTGGTGAATGAACGGTACAATCTAGCTTGGGAGAGATGTTAATTAATTACAGTAACACTCTCTCAGACTCTCAAAAGGAAAAGGAAAGCCTCTCCCTGCTACTAGGCAAGGACTAACTAAGTAACAGCTGAGTAAAGTATCTGAGATTTGGATACTTCGTGAGAGATGGCCCTCTGTGGCTCTTTGTTGTTCTGAAGAAAGCTCCTCAACCAACCCCTACAGTCCTTGACTTTGGAGAAATCATTATAGCACAGAATTTTGTGTACTTAACTTTTTCTACAGGATTTGCCAAGTATTTACAAATCCTTTAGCTTAATTGAACTCTGGTAGCATAATGGTTACGCATCAGGCTGCTAATCTCACAGTCAGCAGTTCGAAACTACCAACTGTTCTGCAGGAGAAAGATAAGGCTTTCTGCTCCCGGAAAGATTTACAGCCTTGAAAATGCCGTACAGAGTTGCTATGAGTCGGAACCAACTCCACAGCACATAACCACCAGCAAGCAACCCCAGGAGGTCTAGAAACCATAACCCCCGTGCGTGGTCCTCATGGATCATCTGAGGTTCTGTGATTTATCCAAAGTTACATAGCTGGGTTTGTCCTGGATAGTGTAACAGTATCCCAGGGCCCCCTGGCATGAAACGGTGAGGGACAAGTAGCCCACTCATTGTGTTGGTATCAGTAAATTGATCAGGCCCAGCCAAAAGAACCTCTAGGCTGGGCGTTCAGCTTCAGAATCAGCTGGGCCTGATCCTGGCCTCACCACTCACTTGCTGTGTGACCTTGGACAAGTTCTGATAGCTTTTGAAGACAGTTTCCTCAAAATGGTGAGGAGAAGAGCACACCCCTGACATCAAAGCATGGACTCAAGGATACTAGAGTAGAATCTTGCTGAACAATGTTCATTTGGGTGACTACAAAGGTTCTTCTAGAGGGTAAAGGATCCCACCCATCACTACTGCCCCATCTCCCTCCTTGTGGCTGACATCCAACACCTCCTCTCCATAGGACCTACTTCCCATTTTCCTACTCCTGGATGAACCAGTTGGCGGCTGTGGTTTCAAAATGGTGAGGTGGGCAAGAAGGTTGGGTTGAGTACCATATTCCCTACAGAGACCCATCATTGTCCTTTGACTCCTCATCATCACCCTTTCCACCTCCTCCCCCGCTCAGGTTCATCATGAGAAAAAGTCTGATCCGACACTTAGAGGAGCGAGGGATACAGGTAGGACTTTTGTATCACTTGGCAGCAGCTACCAGCTGGGTCACTTTACCTTCTGAGCCTCCATTTCTTATCTGTAGAGTTGGGATAATGACAGTAGTTAACTCTTTTGGGTATGTAAGTGGCACTTAGGAAAGCTTTGATAAATGTTATGGTGATATTGTACTGAACCTACTCTCTTGATTCCTGATGAGGGGCCTGGAGAAAGGCCAGGAAAGGGTGAAATCAGACCCAGCCAACCCCTTCCCCATCACCTGAGCATCTGCTTTAACCACTTGTTCAGTAGCAAACCGTCATTGACAGTGTACTATGTTGAACACTGTAGGATAAGCACTGAACTGATAACCACAAGGTTGACAATTCAAACCTACCAGCTGCTCTTAGACACCCTACAGGGTCACTATGAGTTGGAACTGGCTTGACAGCACTTAACAACAACAATGTGCTAGACATTGTTACTGGGGCTTGCAGAGCAGGAAACTTACAATCAAGGTAGAAGGAAAAAACAAAAAGGCGGCCACCACAAGAACAGTGAGTGGACAGTACTGTGGTCTGTGGGGTCAGAGAAGATCTTCCTGAAGAAGTGAGGTGTGAACAGTCACATGAAGGGTGAGAGGAAGCTAGTTCACAGGGAAGGAAACAAAGAGCCTTCAGGCAGGAGGCTTAGCTGCTTAGTTTATGTGACAGCTAGGGGCAGCTGGAGAACCTGGTGCTCAGAGGAACTGGAGGGCTGCCTAGAGGAAGTGGCACCTGCTGAGCTAGAGAAAGCAGTGGAGGCTGAGGCTCGCAGGCCCTGTGACCCTCAGTAAAGAGCCTGGACTTCTGTGCAGAAAAGGGGGAAAGACCACTGATCCAATTTAGGTTTGTTGAGGTGAGGGTTACTCTGGCCATTCAAGAGATTGTGGGGACTCAATTTGGAAGCATGGAGTCCTGGTGTGGCGCTGTGGATTAAAGCATTGGACCACAAGGTTGGTTTGAACCACAAGGTTGTTGGTTCAAACTCACCAACCACTCCTTGAAAACCCTATGCAGTGTCGCTGAGTCGCAACTGATTCGACAGCACTTAACAACAATTTAGAAGCAGAGAGCTTCCTCAGGATGCTGCTGCCACTACTGATAGGATTAGGTAGCAGCAGTCGGGATGGATGTTAATTCACAGAGAAAGAGGCCCAGACTGGACTGCTGATTTAGAGAGAGGAATTGGAATGACAAAGCTCTTTCAGACCAGCCCTCTCACTTTAGGTATCTTCACAACTTTGTGAGACTTGAGTATCACCCTAATTTACTAAATTAAGAGAGCAGAAGGCTCAGTGACTTGTCCAGGTTAAATATACCACCTCTACCTACCTCATTGCCCACTGGTGGCAGACTGTTCAAAAGTCAGCTCTCTGGAATTTAAAAGAAAAAAGGCCTGATTTCAATGTCAAATTCCTTCATGTCAATAGTCCTGCTTTTGGTCAATTTCAAGCTACCAAGTCCTGATGGCAGAGCTGTGAAGATCAGATATATGGTGGTGGTTGTGAAGTGCCGTGGAATCCGTTCTGATTCTGTGTAGGTTTTCTGAAGCTATAAATATTTGTGGGAGCAGAAAGTCTCATTTTTCTCCCTCAGACCAGCTGGTGGGCTCAAACTGTCAACCATCTGGTTCACAGTCCAGTGCTTATCCTATGGTAACACTCTTATTACATAGTATTTACACCATACAGATTCAATTAATGTAAGTAACTGCAGAACATAGGTGATAGTAAAATGTAGTAATATATCTTGGAAGTGATGCGTTTTGGTATTTATTACCTTTATTTTTAATATAATTTAATGATAAGTTCATATAATGTAATTTTTAACAGCAGCTGTGTTTAATAACCAGTTTATAAAATTCTTGAAAATTTAATAATCAGCTCCAGCATTCCACTGCTGGGAGGGCTCCAAAGAGGAAGCGATAAAAGCAACATTCCAGGTAAAGTTGTTTGGAACCCACAAACCCCCTGCTTCCTATTCAGGTAATATTTTGGTGCCTTAATGAAGAGTCAGATTTTGAAGTAGCCTTCAGTCTGGGGGCCACGGGTGTCATGACTGATTACCCCACCGCCCTGCGGAGATATCTGGACAACCATGGCTCAGCTACTCGGACCTCTGAAGCTTCTGTTTCTTTTTCCCAATGAATCGATGAATGCGCAGAAGACAAGACTGACATAGTGACTGCAATGATGGTCTCAAACATAGCAACAATTGTTAGGATGGCACAGAGTCAGGCACTGCTCCATTCTTTTGTACATGGGGTCACTGTGAATTGAAGGCAATTCAATAATAAATACTTACTTTTTAGTCATGTGTTTGTGGGGATCCTGGAAGATTATAAACATGGCAACTTAGGGCAAAGAAGGCCTGGGGCCCGAGCCTGGGGCTCTAACCAGCCTGACCCACTGGTTCCACTACATTCCAGACCCAGAATAATGCCACACCCTGTGCCAGCCTGGCCTCCACTCAGAAATGTCCAGAGCCTTTTTTCTTGAGAGTCACAGATAATGGTTCCATTCTCCTGAAGCCATAAGAGTTCTACATTTACAGCAAGGGAGTTGACTCTCCCTTGTCCTTCTCACTGGGGTACTGAGGGTGGGCATGAGGGGAACCTGAGGTCACAGCAGGTATCTGCTGCTGTAGCACTCCATCCCTCTACTCCAAAAACCCTGCCTTCCCAGAGGCTCCCCAATCATTTATTGATTTGTATATATCACATTTGGCTGTCTAGGCCAGTCTGAATCCTGGGGCAGCAGTAGGGAAAAGGTAAATCTAGCATGGAAGACATGTTTACAGACATCTTCAACTGACAGGTGGCACCCAGCCCAGGACAGGGGCCTTGGAGTTGATGCTGGACCCTTCCATTGTAGGCGGGCTGAGCCTGTTCCTTGTGCTATGGCAAAAATTGTAGACCAAAGAGAATCCCAATAGTTTGCCCGCTGAATAACCCGGAGAGACTTGCTTGATGGCTTTGGGCCTCAGTTTCGCCATTAAAAGGGAGCAATAGTAGAAACTGTCTTCATGGGATATGCTGCAGGGATTAAAACAATGGAAATGCAAGTTGTTATGACTATATTATTTTCAGGGCGCACGCGTCCAGACACCATCCTCCTTTTGATCCTTGCACCTCCAAGAGTGTCCAGGCCCGGGGTACTGTGGGGCCACCGGCTAGGCTGCCCACCGCATTTCCGGGCCGGCCAGAGTACATAGAAGGGGGAAGGGCAGCCCGGTCTGCGCTGGCCACCGGATGACGCGCCCCTATATTTGCATGCTGCACGCCGATTGGCCACGGCAGCCGCCGGGACCAGAGGCCGGCCCCCTCCCCCTCCCGCCGCAGCGGCGGCAGCAGCTGGTCTCGGTGTAAACAAGTCGCGGCGGCTGCTAACCCGGGCCGTGGGGACGGCGCCCACTAGGTGCGCCCCCCACTCCTAGGCCAGGCCACCCCGGCGGACCAGGCCCCCAGCGCGCCCAGGCGAGGTGAGGCCCTGTGCCCACGCCCAGCCAACGAGGACTGCCCCTTCCCCCGATGCCCGCTCCCTACCCCCCTCCCATGCCCCAGGTGAGCTCCGGGGTCTCAGGTAAGGCTCCGTGATGCAGGTAAGATCCCCCGGCAGTCGTAAGGCCTCAGCACCCTCAGGTAAGAGCCCCTCCCATTCTAAATGATCCTCCACTTTCAGCGAGGCCTCCTGTCCGCTCTAGGTGAGGGGCCTTCTCCCCAGGTGAACTCCCTATATCTTAAATGAAGCTCCTCCACAGTCCACATGAGATCTCAAGGATCACATAATTCTTAATGTCCCATGCTCCCTCTAAACTGGGAAACGACAGCCCATGCACTTGAAAGCCCCTTCCTCCAGCTTCAGCTGCCGGCCAGCAGTGGTGAGGTGGGAAGCAGCAGTGTGACTCACCTTGGGCTCCTCCTAGCCTCAGTTTCCATGTTGATGCAACCTGAGGCCTCCTCAATGAGTCAAAACTGAGACGACTCTGGCCCCTGGGGAGGCTGCTGGCTCTGGTGAGAGAAGCCAGCAGCCAAGTGTGACAGAGAGAGTCCCCATGGCCTTGGGCGTGCCTGCTTGTGTGTGGCCCAGGGCCTGACAGCCCACTCCCTCCCTCCCTGGCAGGCACTGGGCTCCCTCTGCTCCCCGTGGGCCGCTCCCCGCGTGGGGCCACTGCCCCCGGCCCCCGCCATGGTGCGGATTTCAAAACCCAAGACGTTTCAGGCCTACTTGGATGATTGTCACCGGAGGTATAGCTGTGCTCACTGCCGAGCTCACCTGGCCAACCACGACGACCTCATCTCCAAGGTAAAGAGGTGGGGCTGGGAGGCTGTCTGTCAGCTCCCTACCAGGAGTCCTGACACCCTCCTCTCTTCTTCCCACCCTTTAGTCCTTCCAGGGCAGTCAGGGGCGTGCCTACCTCTTCAATTCTGTGTGAGTATTCCATCTCCTTCATCTCTTTGCTTGGTCTCTGCTATGACCAGTGACCCCTGACATCATGTTCAGAGCTCTGAATTCCCCTGATGGAGGCAGGAAGCTATGATTGCCCTTCAGTGGATGGTGGGAGCCTCCCTGGAACTGCCCTGTATCTCCACAGTGTGAATGTGGGCTGCGGGCCAGCCGAGGAGCGGGTGCTGCTTACAGGTCTCCATGCTGTTGCTGACATTCACTGCGAGAACTGCAAGACCACTTTGGGCTGGAAATATGTGAGTCAGTGACCTCTGACCCCAGGCTACCCTTTTGACCTGATTTGATCTGACTTTCCCCTCACAATCAATTATTTGGTGATGTCTTAAAATGCACAGGCTAAACTCACACAAATCCAACAGCCCTAGAACCCCTGGCCATGTTCCATTCTGCTCTCTATCCTTCAAGGGCTCTTCTCTCATCCCAACCCTCACAGGCCTTGGCATCCCATCCCCATTTCAGAGATGAGAGATAATCAGAGTTATTGTTTTCTTAATGCTCACGTGCCATGTCTTGGCATATATTATCTCATTCAATCATTGCAACAATCCTGTAGGTAGAGTCTATTATTACCTCCATTTTACAGAAGAAGAAACGGAGGCCCAGAGATGTTAGGTAACTTGCCTACGGTCATACAATTGGTAAGTAACCCAATAGGGACCAAAATCATAGTTGTTTTTTGTTATTTCTTTTTCCCCCCAAACCTGTGATCACCAGGTTATATTATCATTTAGAGGATCAGAGAGGATGTCCAGAACCCCACAGCAATATGGAGCTTGGGTCTCCTTTTCTGCTGTCATTGCGTCTGTTGCTGTCCAGGGTCTGATTTCACGACACTGAGTCTCCCCTTCTTATCTAGAAGTTGAGAATAAAGTGTCTGGTATCCAAGATTGTTAGAGAGATCTGATTAGATGCAGCAAAGGAAGACCATCTTGGGAGGCTGCAGGGAACAGGATTACTCAGGCATGGCTTGGAGCTACAGTGCTCTATGAGGTGTATGCCCCAGGCAGAGACAGACATATAGCCCTCATTTAAGTTCACCCCTGGCCCTGCCACAGATTAACTGTATGTACCTGGACAGGTGCTTGGCCTCTCCAGGTTCCTGTAAAATACAGATGGCCTAGTAGATTTTAGAAACTGTAAACTTGCAAAGTGGTAGCACCGATTTAGGGAAGAGAGAATCTATGGCACTCTGGAATGAGCATGACCTGCCTATATTTGAATTCTTTTCATTAAACTCTGCTGGCCAAGCAAAGCACATGTATAGGCCGGAATTGTCGATGGGCCATCAGTTTGCAAACTGGCATATGAAATCTTTTAGATACTTCATATTCTTTCTGTTAAGAGCCAACTAAAACTGTCCCATGGTGAGAAACTTGACCCTGCCATCTACCAGCTGTGTGACCGTGGGCAGTGGCTTGACTTCTCTGGACAGCAGGTTCCTCAGATGTAAAATGGGGCCAGTCATGTACTACTCTCTTTTGACCCCTGTCCCTTGGTGAGGCTCTTGCCCCAGGGATGACTGGCCCCTCCTTTCCTTCCAGGAACAGGCTTTTGAGAGCAGCCAGAAGTACAAAGAGGGGAAGTACATCATTGAACTCAACCACATGATTAAGGACAATGGCTGGGACTGACTTACCACTGCTTTGGACACATGTGGCTCCAGCCTGGCCTGGCCGCCGGGGGGCGCCACTGGCCTCCTTCCTCCAGAAGGGTGCTCTGGCCCCTCAGAGCCCCTGCAGAGAAGGACCCAGCTCCTGTACCTATATTTTATTGCATGCACTGTGACCTTGGGGGGAAAGCAGAAGGGGGACTGCACCCCCGCCTCTCCTGCGATCTGGCTGGCTTGGATCTCATTTTTAAACCCTTTCTTCCCGGGCTGCCCTATAGACATGGCCTGAGTGTTGCTCTTAAGGCCCCAGTGCCTAGTCTGCCCTGTAAACTTCTCTTCCCACGCCCACGTACCCCACGCGTGTCAGCAACCCTCATTCTGTAGCATTTGTACATAATAAAACAATGGAGTGGAGACAGTCCCAGGCTCACGTGGAATCCAGAAATGGGGGACTCAAATGCAGATGCCTGGCCCCGTACATCTTCACCTTTCTGAGCCCGGACAGGTATGGAGTAGGCAAGGCTGTCTATTGCTGGGAGTCTGTGCGCCTGGGTCCTGGCTTCAGTCATCTCTAGAATCCAGGTTGGGTCTCAGTCCGTGGAGATTCTCAAACCTACCTGGAACCCTGGGCTATGATACTGGCTAATCTCCGTCGTCTCGGCTTTAGCGTTTTGCCGCCACCTAGGGGTAGCTCCTGTCTCTGGGAAGCAGCCCCATCGCCAATTTTGTGGCTCGTCTTGTCCCGACTACAACTTCCAGCGGCGCCAGCGTGTTCTGTGTTTCCTTCGTACCGCTGGTCCTGCTGGGAAGTGTAGTTCTGGAGTTCCCCAGCACAGGACCTTCTGCGTCCGTAAGACTTCTGTGCGCCTGTGAACTTTCAGTCCCTGGCCGGGGGTGGAGCTTTTTCAGAAAGGGAACCCAAGAATGAACCAGACCTCCGGCTTCGCCTGTGGACTCTTCGAGGTCCCCAGTGCCCTGCGTAGTAATCGGCCTAGTCCGCGTCCCTCCAGCCTTGCACTTTTTCCCCTCAGTCAGGCTCCTTCTTCCAAGTCAAGGAAATGTCACCTGCCAGAAACGTCTAAAGCGCCAGTGCCTGCCCCAGGACTCCAGGCTCATCCCTAGGGTCCAGGCCCCGCCCCCCGGTAGTTTATTCCTAGCCGGGACTCCCACCCCCCTCCCCCGTGGGAACAGGGACCAGCTGGCCGGAAGCGCCAAACTGCGTCCCCTGTACAAGCCCCGGGGATCAATCAGGCCGAGGAGTTAATTATGTAATGAGGGAGCAGGGGGTCGGAGCTAATGAAGGCGCCAAGGGGAGGAGGGGGGGAAAGGAGGGGAGGTTACCCAGGTATCCGGCCCCTTCTTGGAGCCCTTCGAGGCCCTAAGGGTCTCCACCCCAGCCCAACTCCAGGGCCCCAAAGAGGGGAGGGGCTGTGATCTTGGGTCTGGAAGGGGCTGAGCAGTGAGCTATAAAGGGGGCATCTCTTCACACTGGGGAGACTTTAGGCAGCGTGACCTGAGGCCAGACTAGACTACTCCATGTACCATCCACGAGAGTTGTACCCCTCCCTGGGGACCAGCTATCGCCTTGGGCCCCCACAGCCGGGGGCAGACTCCAGCTTCCAGCCTGCCCTGGCCGAGGGCTACCGCTACCCCGGTGAGCATTGGGGCTGGCTCCTGTGTAGGGGCCTGGGGAGACTGTGGCCCTTGGCTGCTTCCTCACCCTCCCCTCATCTCCAGATCTGGAAACTCCCAAACTGGACTGCTTCCTCTCTGGGATTGAGGCTGCTCCCCGCACCCTGGCCGCACCCCCACCTCTGCCCCCACACCCCCCGGTCCTGAGCACTGACCTGGCCCCTCCAGCCCCTGAGGCCCTTCACACCCTCCCTGGGGTCAGCCTGAGCCTGGAGAACCGGGAACTGTGGAAGGAGTTCAACTCCGTGGGAACAGAGATGATCATCACCAAAGCCGGGAGGTGAGGGGGGTGCTGGGCAGGGGTCTGAGGACCCAGTGTGCTCCCCGTGGCGGTCTGTTGGGAAAGGTAGAGTCATTGGTGATGGGACTAGGTTTGGTGGTTCCTAGGGTGGTTGAGCTCAGCCTCAGGTCAGAATCTGGTGGTGACCTGAGTCAGGACTAACTATATCAAGGGTCAAGAGTCAGTCTATGGAGTTTGTGGTGAGGTAACAGTCTGTGGCAAGGGTTATAGGTCAGTCTGGGCCAGGCTCAGGAAGCCTGGCTGGGTTATAGGTCAATCTGTGGCTGGAGTCACCGGTCAAACTATGGGGTCAAGGGCCAGTCAGGGACCAACAGCAGGGCTATCTAGCCAGGCTCAGGGGTCAGTGTGTGACTTGGGTAGGAGTCTGTGCATGACAAGGTCTGGAGTTATCCGAGAGGCAGGGATGTGATCAATGTGTAGCTTGTATTGAGCTCTCTTTCTAGGGATTTAGGCATTGGTGTGGTGAATCTTCAATGCTTTGGAGACTGGGTATATTTTATGAAGAGATTTTGTCCAGCAGCTGTAGATTCTGTGGCTTAGAGACCAGGCAGCTCCTGGCAAGATTTCAGGGAGAAAAATTTGTCGCCATACGTCTGCAATTGGAGTTGAAGGGACGGGAAATTGGAGGTTCCAGCTCCGCTCTTAACCTGCTGTCAGTCTGGTCAGATCACCTGATCTCTCTCGTCTCCCCATCTGTAAAATGGGACCAGACAAGCTTCCAGCTCTAAGATTTCTGCCCTCAGTTCTAAATCCACCTCACTTGATGCTTTTCTGACACAACTGGGTGAGCCTGTTCCCCTGCCCTCTCTTCTGGTCAATGGGTAGCGCCAGGCCTCTCTCATCCCTTCCCCTGTCCAGGCGCATGTTCCCTGCTTGTCGAGTGTCCGTCATGGGCCTGGACCCTGAGGCTCGCTACCTGTTTCTTCTGGATGTGATCCCAGTGGATGGGGCTCGCTACCGCTGGCAGGGCCGGCGCTGGGAGCCCAGTGGCAAGGCAGAACCCCGCCTACCTGACCGTGTCTACATTCACCCTGATTCCCCTGCCCCCGGTGCCCACTGGATGCGACAGCCTGTGTCTTTTCATCGCGTCAAGCTCACCAATAGCACACTGGACCCCCATGGCCACGTGAGGCCCAGGCTGGGACCCTAAGATAGGGAGGGTCTGGGGGTGGTGTTGGATGAAAGACTTGAGGCTGGGGCCAGGGGCAGGGAGTCACTCACTTTTCTTCACTCTCAGCTGATCTTGCATTCCATGCACAAGTACCAGCCCCGTATACACCTGGTACGGGCTGCCCAACTTTGCAGCCAGCACTGGGGGGGCGTTGCCTCCTTCCGCTTCCCGGAGACCACATTCATCTCTGTGACAGCCTATCAGAACCCACGGGTGAGTGGCCCTGCCTGAGGGGGTGGTGGCACCCTATGCAGGAGCTTTGACCCTGACTTTGTGCCCCCAGATCACACAACTGAAGATTGCAGCCAACCCCTTTGCCAAGGGTTTCCGGGAGAACGGAAGAAACTGTAAGAGGTAAGTATTGTTCACCCATTCATTCAACAGATGTGTGCTATTCACCCAGTATTCCAGGAACAAATGGCAAGTCAAACCATTCTTATTTAGCCTCAGAAATCCTGTGCAGGGTCGTTTATAAGTTGGAACCCACTCAACCGCACAAAGCAGCAGCAGCACGTGCTATAGGAGCCCTGCTGGCGATGTGGGTTAGGCATTGGGCTATCAACTGCAAGGTTGGTAGTTCAACCCCCTCAGCCAGCCACTCCTTGGAAACCCTATGAAGTTGCTGTGAGTCAGAACTGACTCCACGGCACATTAACAACAACAGGTACAGTTCTAGGCATTGGAAATACATGGATACATAAAAGCAACCAAGGCCCCTGCCCTTGTGGAACTGATATTCTAGTAGGCAGAGCAGACAAACAGATAAAATGACTTGGAAGGATCTCACTGAAAAAAGAACATTTAAGCTGAAGGAGGTAAGGGAGGGAATCAGAGGTTGTCTGGAGAAAGGTATGTCAGGAAGTGGGAATAGCATGTGAAAATGCCCTGAGATGGGAGCCTTGTCCGCAATGTGGCTGGAGTGGAGTGAAGGGCAGGTGAGATAGAGATGAGGTCAGAGTGGTAGGGAGCCAGACTGTTGGACAATAAAAGCTCCTGGACTGAGTACAGCCCCCTCAGAGCTGGCTCCTGTCTTCATAGAGCGTTTAGTCTTTCAGAAGAGACATTTTTCAAAGGATCATCCTAATGTAAAACTGTATGTGTGACAAGTGGTGGCAGAGAGGACTTCCTTGAGGAAGTTGTACTTGAACTGAGATGAGTATCAGAAGATTCCATAGGCCCCAAGACAGGATGGCAAGAAGGGTTAAAAGACAGCTCGTGTAGATGGAGCACAGGGAGTCAAAGTGGGAAGAGCTGAGGTCACATTAGGCAGGCCCTTGAAGCTTGGAAAGAAGTTCTAATTGATCTAAATGCAGTAGGAAACCATTGAAGTTTCTAGCCAGGGAATAAATTCAGCTCTAGTCATTTAATGTGGCTGTCCCTTTCTAGTCATTTAATTTGGCTCTCAGCTCCTTCATCTGTAAAATGGGTATAATAGCACCTACCTGACAGGGTCTCCAAGGTGAAATGCCTGGCACCTGGTAAGTGCTATTATCACCACCACCACCATCCTCATCATCATCCTCATCATCATCACTATTCCCCAGGGAGCGAGATGCCCGTGTTAAGAGGAAACTTCGGGGCCCAGAGCCAGTAGCCACAAAGGCCTATGGGAATGGAGGTGAGTGTTGTTCCAGTGATGGTGATGCCAGGCCTGTGGTGCTAGTAACCACCCCCCCACACACAGCCCAATCTATTCCTGCCTCCCCAGATGCACCTGGTGGTCCCTGCGACTCCACACTAGGTGGGGACATCCGTGAGTCAGACCCAGAGCAAACCCCAGCACACCGGGAAGTTGCCTCAGCCCCAGCGCCTCCATGTGGTGGTCCCAGTGCCGAAGCCTACCTTCTACATCCTGCCGCTTTCCATGGGGCCCCTGGTCACCTTCCACCCAGGTGAGTGAAACATGGGCACAAGGCTGGGCTGGGACTGGGGTCTCTCACCCTGCTGACACTTCTTTCTACTTCAGGACCCCCAACTTCCCTGAGGCTCCAGACTGTGGGCGGACAGCCCCCTACTCAGCTGCATTCCTAGAACTACAGCCTGGGCCAGGAAGTTCAGGGTACCCAGTAGCTCCACCCACAGCACCCTTTGCACCACACTTCCTCCAAGGGGGCCCTTTCCCCATATCCTACGGGCATGGGAGTTACCTGGATATGGGCTCCAAACCAATGTACTGAGCCACTGATGGCCCCACTGTCTTCATCTCAAACCTCCAGTTCCCCTTCCCCCAGCCCTGTAGCCCCCTCACTTCTAACGGCCCCATCCCCCACACCAAATGGCTACCTTGGGCCTGCCCCCACTTCCCACTTTGATTTTACTCCCACCCCCCTCTGGCTTCAAAGCCTGAGCAGGGCTGCTGGGAGCCCAGCTGGGGCCAGCTTCCCCTTCCCAGCTCTCACCTTGGTGTGAATGGAGGGCGGCTCTGCCAGGCCAAATGGGGCCACAGACCAGTACCCCTACCTCCTGGGCCTCACCCTTGGGCTCAGGCATGTTTTACCCCCTCACCCCAGAGCAAGCCACACCAATCTGTCCCCAAGACCAGAGTATTTTTGTTAATAAAACTTGAAAAGACACTAGTGCTCTGGAAATGTTGGGCTAATGGTGTTTGGTGCTAGGTGGGGTTTGGGGAGCAAAACCTTTGTGAGGAGACCCAAACCCCAGTTGAGACCTGCTACTTTCCAGCTGCTTGACCTTGTTGTGCACATAAATCCACTCTTCAGGAAGATGGAGGAAACAAAATCTGGTAAGAGTGAGACTGAGTCAGCCTGTGCCTATGACTACTCGGCAAGTCTCTGACGCAGCCCTGCTCATCCCCACACAAGTTGGACACAGACCCAAAGACCAGTTTTCTTCTTTTATTAGAATTTTTTTTTCAGTTTTTTTTTTTCTCTCAAAATTTTTTATCTAAAACAAAACAAAACAGAAAAGGAAAAAAAAAAAGAAAAACCATTATTGGAAACTTCATGGTTAAAGTGGGGAAAGGAGAGGAGGAACACGGAGCGGAGGCTCCAACCTCTCCAGAGAAAGTCCTCAACCTCACAGTGCCCTCTCAGTGGGGGGACGGCAGAGCTGGAGACCCCCCCCATGCCCACCCCTGTCGGGGGAGAGGGCAGAGTCACAGTGGTCCGAGGGCCAGAGGAAGCGGAGGGGGCAGGGGGCCGAAAGAAGGAGTCACAGGAAGTAGTCGGCAACAGGCTTCTTGGAGGGGATGCCCCGAGTCTCCTGGGGCGCGGCCTCAAAAATGATGAAATCTTTCTGCAGATGTTCATCCAGCTCCAAGATGGCAGCCACATTCCCACACCTGGAAGTGGGAGGCAGTCAGCAGTGTTTATGAAGTGGGCCGGCCTGATCCCCCACCCCCAGCTCAACCTTGTGGCCTGGCCAGCTCACCGGTAGCAGTAGTTGGGGGCCGACCAGACAGTCAGCACGGTTTCATTGAAGTGCCACTTATAACCTTCCATCACTAGCTGGTGGGCGCGGCAAATCATGTCAATGTCGTTGGCTGCATTGAACTGGGCCACAACATCACTGCCGAATAGGTATCCAGCCCCACGCGGGCTTACTCCCCAACCTGTCGTGTCTGTGGTGAATGAAAGTAAGAAGGCGGAGGGTGTCTCAACTTCTCTGACTGCCCCTTCCAATGAACTAGCGGGCTGGCTATTTTCTAGGGGTCTTAGAGAGTAGGACAGTAAACATCAGAGCACAATAATTAGGCCCAACTGCTAACTGTTAAGTGCCGTCGAGTCAGTTTTGACGCACAGCAACCCTGTACAGGAGCAGCTGGTGAGTCTGAATCACCAACCTTGTGGTTCAAACCGACCTTGCAATGCAGCACATTAACCCACAATGCCACACCAGGACACCGCCTCCTAATGAGAGTCACCAGATAGTCTACTGGGCAACACACTACAATCATGCCAGTATTAACAAGGACCACGGAGGCATTCCAGCAGGCAGGTCACCCTGGGCCATAACAGGGCAGGCTGCCAACAGTGAGAGACCTAGCTTTATTCCCTGGTTCTGTTCCATACTAGCTAGAGAACCCCACCAAATGAGGGGCTCCTCTGAGAATCATTCTGGAAGTCTGACCTCTGCTGAAGCTGCTGACAGGTTCTGAGGCTCCTTCACAGTCAGGAAGCCAATGATTCTGTTAAACACCTTCTGAGCCAGGATACACATTAGGCCCCAACCCACTGAGCTCAAAGAGCACCCAGCTACCTGCTGTGGGTTAATGCGCCAGACTGCAAAGCCGTTTGAACTACAAGGTCGGCAGTTCAAGCTCACCAGCTGCTCCCGGAAACCCTATATAGGGTCGCTATGGGTCGGCACTTCACAACAAGCTGTGTTCTACCAGCCACTGACTGGAGGGTTTCAGCCAGACCGAAGGATAAGCACAAAAGGGTAAGCACAGTTAAGACAAAGCCAGCCCAGCCCCGCCTCAAACTCACACGACTAACTCGACTATCCCTTCAAGGGCCCCCTCAGCCTCTTTCCAAGCTAAGAGCCCCACCTCCTCTGTCCAGCCTCACCTTCAGGATCAGACCAGAGCAGGTCACACATGGGCCCATCGTGAGGCACCTCTTGCTTTCGGTCAATTGTCCGGATCTGGTCCAGGGTCTGGATAGAGGGAGAGAGACCCCCGTGCACACAGAAGATCTACAGGGGAGAGCAAGCAAGGAGAGGAAACTGAGCCCTAGGGCCTTCGCCATCACCCCACCCCACAGGGCCCTGTGGCCAGCCCACCTTGCCATCGATGATGGCTGACAGGCTGAGGTAGTCAAAGATCTCAGTGCAGTAGCGCCACACAGTCACCGAGCCATACTTGCGCAAGCACTCGTCATAGAAGCCGTAGACCTGGGTGATCTGGCGGCTCTCATGGTTGCCCCGGATCAGGGTGATGCGGTCAGGATAGCGGACCTGGGGGTAGTCACCAAGCCTGGGCTGAGTCTATGCTCAATCTCCCTTTCATAACCCCACTGCCCTTCTCAAATCGCCTCACATCTGCCAGCCCCACCCCTTCCCTATTACTACCGCCTGGGCCAGACTCGTGGATCAATCTATTGTCCAAATCACACTGCAATCACCTCACAGCTCTAGCGCCTCTTTCAGAGGATGCAAGCCTGACTCCACTCCATCAGCTACACGCAGCAGCTCCCCAATCATGGACCATATACAGATCCAAGTCCTCAGCAAGAGGCTCTCTGACATCTGGCCCCTTCCCACCAATGTACATACAGCATTATGTTCAATGTTCAGTGACTCATCAGTGGGAATAATATGGAGCCTCTCTTCCTCCCCTAGAATACCACCCTGGTGGGGCTTCTCACAGATGCCCTAAGTGAAGGAAGAGCACCCGATCCCAGCAGATCTTGCCCACCTATCTGTCCTGATGCTGGACATATTGCAGTGTCCTAGACAGCACAGTTGTGGTGGACAGAGGTGGGGGACGGGACTGAGGGCTGTGTGAAGTGAGGGTGGAAAGGATGCAGACTAGTCAGTCGAGAAACCCTAGATTTGGGATCCAAAGTCAATGGCTCCCACCTTAAGTGCCAAAAGCAGGAGGAACGTTTCGACACTGTAGAAACCACGGTCCACAAAGTCCCCCATGAAGAGGTAGTTGGTTTCAGGAACATCGCCACCCACCTGTAGGGAGAAAAGGGTTCTACTTGGTTCAAAGCCTATTTCCTGTCAAACTGAGGTCGTCCTTTCACAAAGGGCCCCACCTAACTAGAGGTCTCCTGACCTCATTCCACCCACTAAATTAAAGGCTCTTAATTAGAGGGATCTTCAAGTCAAACCCCCCAGCCCACATGTCACCTCATCCAGTGCTTCCCTCATACTCACTCTGAAAAGCTCCTTGAGGTCATAAAACTGTCCATGAATGTCGCCACATACCTGGCAAGGGGGAAGGTGGGTTAGAATTTACTCATATATCCCAAAAGTCTTTGTTTCCAAGGGCTCCCTCCAAAGCACCCAAGGTTTTCAGTTCTCAGTCGGTGTTATGGATAGAATTGTGCCCCCACCCCAACTAACGCTTACACCTGTGGTTATAATCCTATTTGGGAATGGGGATTCTGTTACATCAATGAGGCAATGTTAGTGTAGGGCGTCTTAAATCAATCTCCTTTGAGAGATAAAAGGTTAAGCAAAGACTAAGGATGCAGAGATCAGGGAAGAAGATGTCACACACCACATAAAGATCACCAAGGAAGCAAGAAACAGAAGCCGAGAAGAGTCAAAGACCTTCCCCCAGAGCCCACAGAGAAAGAAGGGCTTCCCCTAAAGCTGCACTCGGAATTCAGACTTCTAGGCTCCTCAACAGTTTGAAATGATATTTGTTTGTTAAAGCCTTCTAGATGTGGTATTTTTGTACCGCAGCACTAGAGAACTGAAACGTCTGACTCAGCCTTTACTACTCAGGGACAAAAATCTACTCCCCGTCCCAAAGTCACCTGATCTAGATTCACCCACCATCCTACACTGAGTGCCAACAGTTCTGTAGGCAAGAGTTAGAGACACAGCTTTCTAGCTGGACTTGCAGCTTGGAGGGCCTGGACCCCTCCTCCCATCAAGATACCCAAAATAAAGTTACTAACACAGGGTCATAGTAACACAAAGATAGAACCACTCACCAAATTCGAAGTCCTTCTGCTCTGGCCAAGAGTATCCCCCATCGAATAAAGACCCTTCCCATAACATCCACTTTTAAAAGCAAAACTCCCTTGAAGACAGATGGGGCTTTCTGGGTCCCCAGAAATGAGAGGTGGACCTAGGGAGCCCACGTGACTAAGGGGAAGGCCCGTGTGCCTCTGGAAGGACAGGGGTACTCACTGTGACTGGCGAGTCCACCCTCTGCACGTTGCTCTCCTCCACTAAGATCTCTCTGGAGACAGGAGAAGACCAGGGTCACCTCAGCCAGGTTAGCCCAGCCCAATTCCTGACCTTTTTTTGAAGGGAGGGGAGGTGGTCCTTTAACTTCTAGGGGCAGGAATGAGGCTTGCAATTTCCCCAGGGTAAGCTGACCTGGCCCCCACTGCACATCCTTCCATGGCTCCATGCTACCAAAAGGACAAAGCCCAAGCTCCTACTCTAGCATTCAAAAGCCTACAAAGTAACCTGCCACTTTCCTAGCCTTGGCTCCCATCCACACATCCAGCACACACTCCTGGAAAACAGG